CAAACAACACCAAAGCCAAATTTGCTGGGCATCAATTTTTTCTTTTATAGTCCTGATTGGTCCATATAAATATATAAAGTATATATATATATACGTGTGTGTGTGTGTGTGTGTGTGTGTGTGTGTGTGTGTGTGTGTGTGTGTGTACATACATATATACATACACATACATACATACATACATACATACATACATACATACATACATACATACATACATACATACATACATACATACATACATACATACATACATACATACATACATACATACATACATACATACATACATACATTGTCCGCGGCGAATTTTCCGCCAAAATCGTCAATTCTCTGATTGATTAGTCCAGTTGGATTATGACGTCTGCTGCCGCGGTGACTTTTCCTCAAGATCATTGCTGGTAAAAAGAGCAATTTGAACCAACTGATTGAAATAGAGGGTTTATCAATAATTTCCTTTACCACTTTAGCCAGCGTCTGAAAATTTTAAACTTATCACCCAAAGGCTAAATATCATCAATAAACATGATGCAATGGTCCTTCTATTACAAGCTGCTTTTTTGCCTCGTCTTGTTTATTTTTTGTGAACATCCCCTCTGTTGGATGTTTCGATCCTCAATAGTTTTGACGATCACCTCCGTGACGCATTCCAGTCCATCTTCAACACAAAACTCGATCAAAAAAATTTGTTGCAGGGGACGCTGCCTATATGTGTTGGTAGCTTAGGTTTGGGTTCCGCGGCTGAGCTGGCACCTTCTGCCTTTTTGGCTTCTGCTGCTGAACCGGTGGCCTTCCAGGATCTGATGTTTCCGAGGGATGGAATTTATGTCGATAACTTCAGAATGCAAGTATACGACATGTGGCGCGCCACCAACGGAGATGTGGTTGCGCTCGAAAACCCCTCGCAAAAACACTGGATCGCCCCCTGTCTTAATAGATCAGTTGATCGATGGCTGCAACTGAATGGCTCCACTTTTGACAAAGCTAGAATTATGGCTGTCAAAAGTGAGTTGAGCTCCGCCCGGTTGAGGGCGCTACCCAACACCTCCTGCGGCACTAGATTGGATGACTCCTGTGTTCGCGTGAGCCTTGGTTTGAGACTCGGAGCCCAGATCGTCACCGAATACAAATGCGCATGTGGGGCAAGGGTTGATGAACTTGGATACCATAGCCTTTCTTGTCGTCTAGGTCCTGGAAGACAAGCCAGACATACGGCTGTCAACGAATACCTGGTACGATGTTTTCAAAAGGCTGGTATCCCGGTTATAAAAGAACCCATGGGTTTGATAGAGGAAGTAGCCTTTAGGCCTGATGGTTACATGGGCTCAGGGACGGTCTCCGGCTTGGGATGTTACCTTACCCCACACTATGGCTGACCGATATATCGGCTACACTTCAGTGGAGGCGGGCACTGCTGCTCTTAAAGCGTCGAATTTCAAAAATGAAAAATACGTTTCATTAAACAATTTAAGCAAAATATTTCAACCCATTTGCATTGAAACGTTCGGACCAACAGATAAGCACACATCATTATTTATTAACGAATTAACAAGAAAAATAGTTAATATAGCGGGTGATCCTAACGAAGGCAATTATTTAAAACAAACTCTTTCACTTTTATTACAAAAATTTAATTCCTTTTGCATTCTAAATGGAGCTGCTAGATACCTGACTGTGCGAGACCAGGGACATAGATAAAAGTTGAACTCGGAAACGATTGCATGCCTAACCATGGCTTGTTCATCAAAACGGGTTCATACATACATACATACATACATACATACATACATACATACATACATACATACATACATACATACATACATACATACATACATACATACATACATACATACATACATACATACATACATACATACATACATACATACATACATACATACATACATACATACATACATACATACATACATACATACATACATACATACATACATACATACATACATACATACATACATACATATACATACATACATTTTAACGTTTTGGACTGTTTCTTTTTGCTTTTTGGATATTTTATGGTGGTTTGGTGGGTTTTATCAAATTTTATTTCGTTTCCAAAATTTTTTTTTTAAACTCATGAATATTAAATAGTATACAATACTAGCTTTCCGTTTTTCATTTATGTACACCATCCTTGCAATATTTTTGTTTTAATTTTTATTTTTTGGTTTAAAGTTTTAACAATGTTTGCAGTTTTATTAGTATTTTACCTATAATTTTAATTTTATATTTATTTATGGCTCCGGTTTTACACAAATGCACTTTTTGTTTCAACCACTATAAATTAAGACCGGACGGGAAATTACACCGGCACGGAGGGAAAGAGAAGGGTCAAGAATGCCCTGGGTCTATGAAGGCGGTCGACCAACCATCGGCCGGGTCTACAGAACCTTCGGGTTTGGCTCCCCGCGCTGCACCTGTCAACGAGGGTCGCGAAGCCGCACGTACATCAGCTTCGGTCACGGAGGCTCCCATGGGAACTGACCTTAACGCTTTTTTTGACAGACTGACGGCCGCCTTGAGAAAAACCCCGGTTATTGATCATGTGCCGAAACCATGTAGGGAAAAAGTAATAAAAGAATTGATGTCCCTCATGGCGGCAATTTGTAATGAACCTTGCGACCCAACTCACTGGTACAGGCTCCATTGTTTTTTCCCATATATCCTCAAAAAGCCTGCCAGAGGGGGTCGAAGATTCAACCAGGGTAATCATGTTAACAAACGATTGGCAGATTACTCTACATTGGAGGTTGAGTCTATTGCGGCTGGCTTTGAAATCGACAATACAATAAAGCCACGAAAAAACAATCCAAACAGTTGGATTCAAACCGCAATCGCCCGCATAGAACAGGGCAATCTTTCGGCGGCTGTCAGGCTTGTTTGCTCTCCCGAGGGTCTGGCGGGGGACTCGCCTGAGACATTGGTTAGACTCAACGCCATCCACCCCAGGTCACCATCGGACAGGCGAGTCTTTCCTGCACCGGAAACCGTAAATGGTTGCGTTTCACCCACCCAGGTGTTGTCAGCCCTGAAGTCATTTAGGAATGGTTTGTCTGAAGGCCTTGACTGCCTAAGGCCCCAGCACATTAAAGATTTAATTTCAGGCCCACTGCCCATTGACGAGTTTGTAAGCTCCCTAACACAGTTTATAAATATAATTTTATCTGGCGCGTGCCCATCCGCCGCCAGCCGTTTCTTTTTCGGGGGTCGTTTGATAGCGTTGACAAAAAAAGATGGGGGAGTTAGACCTATTGTGGTCGGTAACTTTTGGAGAAGGTTGGCCAGCAAATGTGCTCTGATCTTGGTGTTGGAAGAAACCAAGGCGAAACTTAACCCAATTCAACTGGGCGTTGGGGTGAAAGGAGGAGCAGAGGCGGCCGTACATGCGGCCCGTAAATTGGTTCTGGACTTACCCGATAAATGGGGTTTTTTAAAAATTGACTTCAGGAATGCTTTTAATACCCTGAGGAGAGATTCGATGCTGGAGGCAGTCAAACGGCTCTGTCCCTAAATTTACAATTACTGCCACTCCGCATATGGCCGAATCTCTTTTCTTGGTTATAACACCTGGGTGATGGAATCGTCCGAGAGGGTGCAACAGGGTGACCCTTTGGGGCCGATGTTGTTTGCTCTGACCCTACACCCGGTGTTGGAAAAATCTCTTTCAAAATTCGTTTGCGGCTACCTAGACGATATCAGTTTGGCCGCCGAGGGTGCAATTTTAGCTACTGATTTCCTGTCTTTAAAAGACAATGCCTCCATTATTGGGCTTGAGCTTAATATTAAAAAATGCAAATTGTACGCAAATGACTCTTTTGAAATGCCACAGACACTGGCGGAAGTGCCCTTAGTGTCTGAGGCATCATTGAGCTTCTTGGGCACCCCATTGATGGAGGGGGAGTTTCAAAACACTTTTTTTAATAAAAAACTCGCAGAGCTGAAATTCGCCCTCGACCGAGTGTCTCATCTTCCGGTCCACGACGCGCTGACCATCGTCCGCAACGCCCTTAGTTTGCCTAGATTGATGTATTTCCTTCGTACATCCTTCTCGGTTGATGCATCCATTTTGGGCGGATTCGATGGCGCCCTGAGGTCAGCGTTGTCAGCCCTATGCAATGTTGAGTTGACAGACAGGGGCTGGTCTCAGGCCCAGTTGCCGGTTCGGTTTGGGGGACTGGGGTTGTTAAGCGTGGTCCAGCTGGCACCTATTGTTTACAAATCATCTGCCGCTGCCACGCTCGACCTGCAGTCTGCCCTGCTCCGGCAATCTTTCACGAATCTTGGTACCCCACCAGCATCACCCAACCGAGCAAAACATTTTCAAGCTCGGTTGCTGGAAGAGGCATACAAAACAACTTTTCAGTTTTTGTTGTCCTCTAGTCCCGACGATGCAACTTCGGCTCGTCTGCTCGCCGCGTCAAGCAACGCGAGCTGCGGTTCGTTGAGATCCTGGCCCAACTCATCGGTGGGTACCCGACTGGATGATGAGACGGTCAGGATGGCCATTGGTTTTCGTCTGGGTTTAACGGTCCACCATAAATATCTGAGTAGGTGCGGTGCGGAAGCTAACGAACTCGGTCACCACGGCCTGGTCTGTCGTTTAGGTGGAGGTCGTCAGTTGTGCCATTCCGCATTGAATGATTACATCTGCCGGCTTTTCTCCAAGGCTTTAATACCCGTTCTTAAAGAGCCCTCGGGAATTTCCGCGTTGGATGGAAAACGTCCGGATGGCTGCACGTTGGTTCCTTGGAGAGCCGGTAGATGCCTGGCGTGGGACGTAACCGTTCCGGGCACATTAGCGGAACGGTACGTGCACTTAACCAGCAAAGAAAGTGGTTTGGCCGCAACCAGGGCATCGGATGAAAAGTTTAAAAAATATGAAGGTGCCCTGCCCTCGATGGATTTTTTACCTGTTTGCATCGAGGTTCTTGGCCCGATGGACAACAACACTTCAATATTTTTTAAAAAGATTTGCAAAATGATAAGTGGCAGGTCCGGCGACAGCAGAGAGCTATTTTTCGCCATGAATCATATATCTTGTTTGCTGTAAAGGTTTTTGCGCGTCTGTGTTACCGAAAATGTTCAATTAAACGCCGACGTGAGCGAATAATGAGATAACAATTGTTAACCGATTTTTTCAGATGTTTGACTGTTTAGTGTCACTCATCGCTGATTTGGTTTTAACATACATACATACATACATACATACATACATACATACATACATACATACATACATACATACATACATACATACATACATACATACATACATACATACATACATACATACATACATACATACATACATACATACATACATACATACATACATACATACATACATACATACACACATGCATGAACACACAAACATGTACAAAACCAACATACAAACATATATGTAAACATTTTGATGAATTCAAGACATACACATACAATATAAAACATAGAAACACACACAGAGATATACAAACACATGCAATTATTATACATACAAACAAAACAAAACATACCACTCCCCCGTTAGAACTCCATCTTTTGTTTTTATAAATTGGCATCTTGAGACCTGACGAAGAACGTAACTGGAACTAGCAACCTCACCAAAACTCACCAGCTTACCTACCAGCCACATCATATTTCATCGCATACTAACTCCAAAGTTTCCTCTAGGATCTTCCTGCCAATGATCCTCAAAACCAACGTTTTCTCACGTCTTGTGAACATTTTTTTAGTCGAATAACTATTGGCCAGTTCAAGTTTAGTATTATTGAGAATACTTTTACTTAAAATACTTCCATTACTAGAGGTACTTCTACCAGGGACACCTACACTCCAAGTACTTTGAATCCAGTTACTTTTTGACGTGCGCTTTTGAAACGTTAAAATGACGTCATCGCCGTTAATTTGCCGGCAGATGACATTGTTATCAGGATCGATCATCTTCATATGTGTTTGTGTATGTGTTTGTGTGTGTCTATGTATGCATGCATGTTGTTACCGTTGTAACTCATTTTGATTATAAATTAAATTCGAATTTCTAACATTCTTGGCACTGTTATACACTATAACCTTTTAATATTCATAACTCACCGATTTCTGATAATTGAAAGTATCGCTCTATAACGCTGCAAGTATTGCTACAAAGTAAGTCAATGTCTGTAAAATCAAGTCAATGTCTGTAAAATCAAGTCAATGTCTGTAAAATCAAGTCAATGTCTGTAATGATAATAAGTACATGTGAACAACGTTCTTATCATTACCTTATCATATATTATAAATAGTCCAGGTAAAACCTGTTGGCGCGTCTCTTTGTGTGTGTCAGACCTGCTAAGCCGATATTGTTTCATCATTAACTTGAATTTCTAGCATTTTTAATGTTATATACACGTGTGTGTCTGTGATATAACACATAAATTACAAACGGACGGGCAGAAGATAGACAGACAGACAGACAGACAGACAGACAGACAGACAGACAGACAGACAGAGAAACGGAAAGGCAGATAGATGCAGACAACAAACATACTGATTGACAGATAGGCAACACCCAAACATTTTATCACCATACCAATACGGAGAGTCATATTTGAAAGAATTACCATCGATAGCGATTCAATAAACCGGGTCGTATGGAGTCAGATCTATCACTTCAACCATAACGACGTATTCCTAGTTAATCCATAAGGTGAGAGTGACGTCGTGACGATTAATTGTTTCAATTAGGACCGATTGCTAGGTGACTAGGCAGATAAACGAATGACAGATGAATGAATTGACGAGTGAAACACAGAACGCCTTTGTAAAAATACCATTTTTATAAAAAAATCATTAAAAAACTCAGTAAAATTCATCAATTAACCAATGAATAAACCTAATAAATGAATAACAAATGAAATAAATTCAGCAAACGAACAAAAAAAATCAACCAATCCATTCAGGCATTCAGTCGAATTTCTTTTTAAAATAGTTCTTGATTATAACTGGAATAATTGATGAAATCGCTAGAACGGCCAGGACAATTATTGAGGTGATTGACAGAGTCTCTCCAGATGACGTGGTGTGGTGCAGAGCTGTGCCCGCTTGGACGACCATGAATGAGGGAGGAGCCACACCTGAATTTTAACCAATCACAATGAAGGAATTTTTGTTAATTAGCTAATCAAAAAAAATTAACTTTGTTGATCCGCTAATCAAGAAAAAAAGCATTTTAAATCAAGCTATTAGAGAAAAGATTTTCTAAATTAACCATCAAGAGAAAAAATTTCAACAAATCATAGAAAAATATTTTTCTAAATTAGTCAAAAAGAGAGAAGGTTCTTTTAAACTATCGTTCGGAGCAGAAATAGAGAAAAGTGAGGCAGACCAACCGATGAAGGTCCCGAGGAAAAATGGTAGGATGGGTACATTGACGATAGGAGAGCAGACGTTGATGAACCAGTTAGGAAGAAAGGGTGTAAGCCTCAAGAAGATGATGTAGTTTATTATCTGGTCTCTATGTCGCTCCACCTATTATTAGAATTAATAAATTATCATAATTATTAATTATTATTACTATAAATTATCATAATTATTAATTATCTTTTATATCAAAATTATGGTGCAGCACACAACTCAAATCAATACAAATCTGCTTAATTTAACAACACACAGTACAACAGAAAACATGAGATATAACATATTAGGTTAAACAAAAAAACTTTACCAACGCACTACATCAAAAATAATTAATTTGGTAATCTTTAGTAACAACACCCCACACGCATAAAGATGAAAAACTAAACTAGGCGGGACCTTATCAGAGAATTGCATAGCTCGATTGGGCAGAAATGACCAAACCAATCGTCGACCTACCAAGTAGGAGAGCATATAACAGCACGAAGCCCCAACAGCTGATGCCTGAATGGGTGGAGGTTATCACAACTAACTGAACTATTAATAATTAGCAATAGAAATTAATAATATTAATATTATTATCATTATTAGAAATTATTATTATTACCATTATTATTATTGTTGTTGTTGTTGTTGTTGTTACAGACTGTTGCATATGTAGAAAATTGAAGTAAAATAAAATAAAACTAGGATAGCATGACACAATAACAAGATATAACAATAAGAATAATAACAATAGAAACTAACCAGGCAGACGAGGAACAGAGCCAGTGGGAATGGAAAAAGAAACCCTGACAGGAGGCTCAGGAATATGGAGCCAGGAATTGCGAAAGATTGCAAACTTTTTATCGTTATTTTCATTCATTTTTTAAACATTAATTTTGTTATTTTTTGAAAAAATGGTTAAGAAATAGACTAAAATGCTATTAATTACAACAAAAAAACACAATAAAAATAACATCAACAAATATAGCAATAACGACAACAGCAAAAAAAGATACAATATATAGGTGATGAAAAACCCAAAGACTACAAATAGGTAGTGAGATTCATTGTACTTTATTAATACTTTCCCTAATGATTTAGCTTCTTCTATGTTTCGCGGTAGTTTAAAATTTTTCAACTCCTCCCTAGAAAGTTGTGATGATAATGATGGTAGTTATGATGATAATGATGCTGTGATGATAGTAATGATAATGATGATACATAGTAGATATAATTGTAATTATAATTTGTAATAAAAGTATAATCTAGCAGTATTATTATGAATGTCTTCTATTACAAAATTCTCAAAATTCTCACCTGATCACATGATGATAGTATAAAACAGATGATAAATTAATGATGAAGATTGAATAAAATTATATGATGATGGAAATAATAATAATAATAAACATATAAAAAAAAATCCTAACTCGTCGAAATCAGGCAGATTGTAGTACATAAGACATAACAGCCCCAGTGAGCAAAGAAATATTATTGATAAAATTATGAAAGATTTTCGACCTCCAATACAATTTGATAAATGATGAGAGGCCATTTCATTTTCTCTAGAATTTATATTCTCTTCTATGGTTATGGAGAAAAAATATTTTATATTTATTTGATATAAAGTATATAATAAAATAATTAAATTTAGATGACTAAATAAATAAATATAAAATAAAAATTTAAAAGTTAATTCATGATACAAAAAACAGAACCATTACCTCGAGAATCATCACTATCATCTGCATTGCTTGCATTAGGATTTACAATAGAATCGTGCCCATTGCTTAGATTAGAAAAACCGCGATTGTGAAGAGACGTTTGTGAGACGGCCATCTGCCTAATTTTCCCACCAAGCTTACTGTAAAAAATCTTACCTAACAGCCCTAACCCTCTAGAATCCTCACTGCACTACCTACACAATGAGTTAACTTTGCTAAAAAAAATGACAAAATAACGAATGAACACAAAAGACCAATATAAATATTTTTAATTCAGAAGATGAATAAAAATTTATCTAAACCGCATATTATATATTCATCTAAACCGCATATTATTGAGCGATATTAAATCATTTAAAAACAAAGAACGCGATAACACAAAGAATCTACATTTTTGTTACAGGCAAGAGTTGACAACACTATAATTACAATGTTACTTTATGCGTTAATATCAAAACTGGTATCTGTTTAAATATTCATGTAAGTATGTATAAAATATTTAGCAAAGCATTTCATTACAATTAAACAAAAAGCAGCAGATAAAAATATACGACTTATACACAAATATAAATAAATTTATATAAACATATGTACCAAAACCTATATATATATATATATATATATATATATATATATATATATATATATGTATATCAATTTTCATTCACAGCATTAAAGAACCTTCCGTCAGCTTCAGCCCCATAATTTAGAGGGAAAAAACTATTATTATTATTATTGACGTTATTATTATTAATGTTGTTATTGATGATGTCATAATAACCACCACCGTCACTAGAGTTCTGTATTAGAGATGAGTTGACACTTAGAATCAAATAACCTTTACCGTTATTATGATTATTATTATCGATATAATTAATATCATTATTGGTAATATTGCGATTATCGCCACAAACATTATTGACATTTATATCATTATTAATATTATTGCAATTACTAATATTAATATTTATTTTATCGTTGATAATGTAATCAACGACGTCGTTTTTGTCGCCAGGGCTGCTGCTACAAACGGTAATTACATCCCGACAACCACCATTCTCACCATCACCACAACTATTCCTACCAGCATCTTTACCCTCACAGGCAAATTTGGCCTCGGCCTTACCACAACCACCATCTTCAGCACCCCTACGACTATTTTTACCGGCATTTTTAGCACTACCAACAAACTTGGGTTCGACCTCAGAATTCAAGTGAAATCTTCGAATATGCTTTCTACAGTTTCCGCTCGTTGCGGATCTGAAGCCGCAGAGGACACATTCGTAATCCTTAATTTGCGTATCCGTGTGCATGATCATGGTGTGTTTCTTCAGGTTGTAAGGCCTGCTTGTTGAGTAGGAGCAGTAGTTGCACTTCAAGCACTTGGGCTTGTGAACCTGTCGTTATTATTATTTATAGTGTTGTTGTTGCTGTTGTAGTATCGTCATTGTCAGACAACACAACAACAACATAACATCATCATCAACAACAACAACAACAAAATAACATCAACAACAGCAATGACAGCAACAGTAAAACGAACCGCAACTACATGCCCGTAGAGATTTTGCTTAGTGGCAAACATCTTGCTGCAGTACTTGCAGGGAACGTCAATGACGTTGGCGTGCTTCTTTTTGACGTGGTCATTAAATCTGGACCTCCTGTCCGTGACGTAGCTGCACTGCTCGCACCTGAAGACCAGCATCTTGTCGTTGATGATGACGTCATGGACCTTGAAGAAATGTGCTGTTTTCCGTGCGATGGTTGTTGCATTGTGTTGTGTTAGTTGTTTGCTGTGACGTGTTAGTTGTTGTTAGTTGTTGTTAATTAGTTGTTAGTTAGTTGTTGTGTTGTTTGATGTTTTCCTAATCATTTTCTAATACAAAATTTTTTTTAAATTAATAACTATCGTTAGAAACGATAACAACAACAACAACAACAACAACAGCCACTACTACTAATGCAGCTGCAGCTGCTACTACAACAGCCACCAACAGCCGTCACCAACAGCAACTACTGACACTGCAAATTCGCTTTATATTGCGAAGCATAGGAGCACAAATTACAAGAGAAAGGTTTGGATTCATCATGTTTCACAATGTGCATCTTCAGGTCACTCTTCTGTCCGAACGCCTGCCCGCAGATATCGCAAATGTATGGACGAATGTTCTCATGGATTGTTGTTTTGTGGTTCTGTAGGCCTGCGTGTGTATGTGTGTGTGTGTGTCTGTGTGCGTGTGTTTGTGTGCGTTAGTATGCGTGTGTGTGTAAGCAATCTTGACTGTTCATGTGATTGAATGAGAAATGAAAAGGCAGTTTATTGATCAAAGAATGAATGACGAATGAATCAATCGATCAATCAATCAATAAAATAGCCAACCAAATACTGTACAACATAGCGGACAAATGCACAAATTAACCTTTCTGGTGTTTGAACTTTTTGTTGCAAACATCGCAGCTGAAGTCCTTAACCTGTCTGTGCTTCAACTGATGTTCATTCAACCTCTTCTTATATATGCACACGTACTCACAATTCGGCTCCTCACATCTGTAAAACTGTTTGGATGGTGATGATGATGATATGTGATGAAGATGACGATGATGATGATGATGATGTATCGAAGATGAGGATAAAAAGATGATAACTCAAACGGTAGAAATCGTCGTTGATTGCACGGTTACCCGGTTCAAATGCTGCTTTGAGAACAAAACTCAAGAGCTGCTGGGAATGGCATCTGAATAGAGTGAAGCCAAAACAACATCCACATCATCAGCAACAATAATAATAATAACCACAACAATAAAAAGAAATAACAGAAGCAACAATATACATTTGTCTCAATGGCAAACTTCTTGATCTTATGAACGAGGAGCATATGAATGTTGAGTGATGAGGTCCTTGACAATGATTTCCCACACAATGTACATATTTTGCTCCATTTATGTCTGTCTTTCAGGTGACTAACATGTGTGTGTGTGCATGCGTGGTGTGTGTGTGCGTGTGTGTGTGTAAGTAGTGTATACGTATGTGAGTGTGTCAGCTTGTATGTGTGTGTGTGTTTGTAAGTACATACATATATACACACTCCCACACAAACTTTTTCAAAAGCTTTTCAATCCTAGTTTGGAATGAACAGTGTGAACATTTGTGGTGAACAGACGGGTGAACAAGACACATATGCGCCGACATTTGAAATTCAGTTAATGCACTCACTGCTTTGTCCTCAGGGCAATATGGACAATCATAAATATTATTATTATTATTGTTGTTCTTTGGTGATTTGATTTTCTTGCTGCTTTTTCTTGATGACACGTTGGCTTCATTATTATTGTTATTGTTATTATTGTTGTTGTTGTTGAAATGTTTTGTCTGCACATGATAAAGACAGGCTGACATTTTTGAAAAACATTTTTTACACAATTTGCAAGAAAATTTCATATTTTCAGATTCATCGTCAGCACTCCCAGAAAAAAGACACTCAATAAGAGAACGTTTAATCATATTTAATTTGATCACCTTCAATTTATTTCTCAACTTATTATCATAACTATTAAATGCATTGCGAAAATATGAAGGGTGATTATTTTTAATATGACTATTTAGGCCAGCACTGTACTGAAAAGATTTTGGGCAGAGTTTGCATCGGTAATTTGAGCCATGAACACGAAAATTGAATAATTTCAACTGATTAGCGATTGAGAATTGTTTAGATTTCTGGCTGGAAGTCTCTTTATGAGCAGTGACATACTTTTTTGTCTTGAGTCTGCTTGGGTTTTTGTGAGTATCTTTTGGTCTTGCAGATTTTCTGTCTTTTGGTTTAATAGATTTAGTATCTTTTGGTTTAATAGATTTAGTATTTTTTGGTTTAATAGATTTAGTATCTTTTGGTTTAATAGATTTAGTATCTTTCGTTTTAGTAGATTTAGTATCTTTGGTTGTCAGAGATTTTTTCGTTTTTTTCAAACGTTTCTTCGATTGCCGAGTTGGCTTCCTTTTCAATTTGGTTGTTTGCTGTGTAAGGTTGCTATTATAATTATTGTTATTATTAATGTTATTGATATTGTTTACATATCCACAATTATTATTATTATTATTATTATTATTATTCAAGTTGTTGACACCATGGTTGTTAATGTCATTAATGTCTTTGCTGTCATCACTGTTGTGATTATTTGTAGAAATTTCACTATAGCTATTATTGTTGTTGTTGTTGTTTATGTAGTTGATGTTGTTGACGTCATCACACTGTACATGAAAGGTCTCCATATCATTTGAATCAGTTGAGTCCTCCTGACAATCAAAAATGAAAATAATATAATAACAATAATAATGAACTAATTATTTATGACCATAAAATATTTCTATTCAATTGTTTAATTAGTTATCTCACCATATTGAAATTATCCTCATCATCATTCTCTAAAAATCTTTCTAAAATTCTGACTATAGATGTCACTTTCATTCCATATGCAGCCAGCAGCAACTGCCTGGCCTCCGACACATCTCTAATTGCCACAGACCCAGTATACATGTACAAGATTATTGATTCTATGGTTTTTCTACTGATGTCTTGTTATAATTAGGGAAAGAATAATATTAATTAGGGTATATCTTATTAGAGATGGTATTATTTAACTAAATATTTATAAATAAATTATTAAATACAAATATTAATTTCAAAAAAGATTAAAAATTGAAAACAAACCGTCTGAAATTTTAACAGAATTGCATTTTTCATCAGAGAGCAAAATTTCTTTAAAATAATCAGAGTGGGCAGCTAGAATTAATTTATGCATGCCAAACTGCCTATCATTACATTCGATTAGGATATCACAGAGATCACCACTCAGATAAAATTCGTGTAAAATGGAAATTAGGTTTTCTGAAAAACTTATCACGTTGTTGCTATTGCTGGTATCTTGTGCATACCTACATTTAAATGATTTCCAAGTTTTTATCTATCTATTTAATAATTTATTTATAATAATTCTCATTTTAATAATTTTCAGAAGTATCAATAACAGCAACAACAAACACTACATTGTAAAACAGTGCACTGTGTAAGTGGAACAATGTGACAGACAGATGAGGTTGTTGTGGTTATAATAATAATAATCAATCAATCAGTGTAACTGTAGAGTAGGTGATAGATGAGAGCTTCTTTGCAATATCAGTGCCAGGCACTTTACTTTACCCATTTACCGCTATACTATTTTTTGTCTTACATTATTAAATAATGTAACGACATTCGGCGGTAGCTGATAGTCCAGCTACCTAATAATTTCATTATTAGATTATTTATATTATATTTGAAAATAATATTTTTCCAAAAATAATAGGTTTGAAGAGGGAGGTAATTTTTGGTTTGAAATTTTGAATGCAAAGAAAGCCAAAAATACAAACTTAAAAAATAAATCAATGAATAAAATTTAATATAAACGACTCAGAAAAGACATCAAAAAACATCACAAACCCCATCGTCTCGGTTGTATTTATTAGATTAGTTAGTATTTGTTACAATTTTCAACCAATAATTTGTTTAAAAGTGAATTATTGAAAAGGCACAACTAACTGACCCAGCGGCTTATTGCATTTAGCTTTTTTTCTTCACAATTCATCGGTGATTTAGTTACACATGACTACTTACTAAGAACTAAGAGTTTTTATTTGGAAGATTTATATATCCTATATGTGTTGTATGTATGTTTTATAGTTTATTCAATTGAAATTTTTATAAAGAGGTTGAAAGAATGTTGACAAAGCTAATCAAAAATTGAACAAAAAATTTGATAGGATTGATGTAAATTGATAAATAATTTCAATAGTTATTATATATATATATATATATATATATATATATATATATATTTATATATCAAGTAAAACAGAAACAAAAGCAGTCCACTTTCCTAGTTTTATTTCTTTGCAAGTAAAAAATGAAACTTCATGAAAGTATTTCAAGTATTTATGTTGCTCAAATAGTGAAAATATTAAAAAATTAATTAAAAACTAAAATAATGAAACTCAAATTTAATTTTAATAATAAAAATAAAATAATAATAGGGCATAATTAACTAATGAAATTAACACGATAATGATCAAATATACCACTACATAATATAAAGATTTCAAGTATATATATATATATATATATATATATATATATATATATATATATATATATGTATACATGTATTATACATATATATATACAGTAATGTATGTATAAATAATTTTTATTATTACTATATATATATATATATATATATATATATATATATATATATATATATATATACATATATTATACATATATATATACAGTAATGTATGAATTCAACCAAATTGTTTGCATTAACCAATTTAAGGTTTGTCAGACAAGCCTAATCAATTTGAGCTTTCAGGCACAACTGACTCTAACAACACCAAAATCGAATGCTCTTCAACGACAGTACAAAACCTCAAGTAATCCCAAAAGACCCAACTCCTCGCCTATAGACTAAACTCAACGCCATTATAAGAAAACTCAACTAACTAAAACATACCTCAAGAACCAACTTTTAATTGATTAATGCCAACAATCAGGTAGAATTCATACAATACTGTATAAAATATGGCTTCTTCCAACATGTATATAAATATATATGTTTTTGTATGTAGTATTCTTTAGAAATATGCCCATATAAAGTAAGACTTGAAAAAATTTGCCCTATAACAACAACAATCATATCATTGTTGTTATATTATTATTATTATTATACTATTTGTAGTAGTAATAGTGGTAGTAGTAAAAGTAGTGGAAGTAGTAGTAATAATTAGTAACCATAATATTTAAAGTGCTAATCATTGGCTATATATTTTTTACTATGCACATAGAATGTATAAATATATATATATATATAAATATAACACCAACATACAACACACACACACATACATAAATATATATATTTTTTTACAATATTCTATAAATTAAAAATTATGGTCTATTACCAACAAATATATATATATATATATATATATATATATATATATATATATATATAAACATATAATATATATATATAAACACACACATATACATATATATAATTAAATATACACAAAACTTTGTGAAGATTTTTTTCTAGTGAACGAAATTGTTGAAAGGAAAAATTTTTGTTGAATTTTCGCCGTCAACCGACAGATAGAAATATTTTACTAAGGTGGCATAAAATCATTTTGGTTGGGATCAGTAGGTTAGATCAGGGCATACTAATTTTAAATTTTAACCCTGGGGCGCTAAACTCCAGTTTTACCAAATGAAATTTTCAACCATAACTTCAAGTACAACAAGTGCAACAAAAAAACTCCTCATTTTGAAGTAAATTTGAAATTGCTGAAAAACTGTGAAAATTGTTTAAATAGATATTTGATCATTATTAATAACAACAACAATAATAATAATAATAATAACAATAATTTTTATTATTACTATTATTAAAACTAAATTACGCGCGAAAAAAAATTGCGTACAGGTAGATAACTTAAAATTAGTTATGACAATCACAGTGCAAGCTAGCTAGCTAATTAGCAGCAAACAGCTGGTAGTATTGAATATTAATTAGATAAAAGTAATTACATTTATTAATAATTATAAGAAATAATATTTAAAATATAATTATTTATAGTTTTTGGTTGCAATTATTGCTGATGGTGATTTTTTGCGCAAGTGAAAAGGTTTGAAAAGTTGAAAATTGAATGAAAGAAATGAAACGCTAAAAATCTGAATATAAAAACATGAGCAAGTGGTTTCTGTGTAAAATCTAACCAGTCTATAAATTCATTCTTTCATTCGTTCATTCATTCCTCCGTTCGTTCGTTTATTCGTTCGTTCGTTCACTCATTCGTTCATTCATTCATTCATTCATTCGTTCATCTGTTCATTCATTCGATCTTTGATTTTATCGACAATTCCTCCATACTTTAGACCATCCTTACACTTGTTCATTCAATCGTTTATTCGTCATTCATCCAACTACTCATTTAATCTTTCCTTCACTCCTTCATTCATTCATTCATCCGTCTTTCAATTCATTATTTGTCCATCTATCCATGCAATCATTCCTTCCTTCATTAATCCATGCCTCCATCAGCACTTCTTCTCAGCATTCTTCTGCTTCCTGTTGAACATGCTGATGAATTCTGTGGGAAAATTTGTAAAAAAAAAAGAATGAATGAATGAATGAATAAATGAATGAATGAATGAATGAATGAATGAATGAATGAATGAATGAATAAATGAATGAATGAATGAATGAATGAATGAATGAATGAATGAATGAATGAATGAATGGATGAGTGAGCGAGTACATTGAATAAGACAGCGAAAGAGTGAATTAGCAAATTAATGAATTAAGACGTATTAACAAATTAAAACTATGACAGATACTCCTCTACATCAATCAACTAACCAATCAATCAACAAACAATTAACCAGCCAACCAACCAACCAACCAGCCAGCCAGCCAGCCAACCAGACAATTCATCCAACCTTCATAATCAATTTTCCCATCGTTGTTCTTATCGGCGCTTCTGATCATGGCTTCTATATCACAGTCTTTAACAGTGGTGGTGGTAGTAGTAGTAGTAGTGGCATTAAAGTTCCCGCCAAAATTAGAACATTTCTCGCCAAAATTTGCGATGGTTTGACGAAGTTCAGAGGCGTCGATGAAGCCGTCGTTGTTTATGTCGAAGATTCGAAAACTGGCGCGCATCTCTTCCTCTCCTGATGATGATGAGATCGTGGTGATGATGATGAGATCGTGGTGATGATGATGATGATGACGAGTGTGATGATGATGATGATGACGAGTGTGATGATGATGATGATGAGATCGTGGTGATGATGATGATGACGAGTGTGATGATGATGATGATGACCATTGTGGTGATGGTGGTGATGACGATTGTGGTGCCGATGATGGTGATGATTGTGGTGATGAGGGTAATTCAAGTTGTCTGAATGAAATGCCATGATGACCTCAGTTACTAGTGAACGAACGAACGAACGAACAAATGAAAAACAATAATAAAAACAATAACACAATTAATAATAATAATAATAATAATAAACCTGGTAGATCTGGAACGACGATGTTGTTATTTGCACCCGTCCGAGAGTTCTGTCTGTGCAGTTGTGCTGCCTTATTTTATTGTTATTATTATTATTATTACTACTACTACCACTGCTGCTACTACTACTACCACTACTGCTACTACTACTATTACTACTACTGCTACTACTACTACCACTGCTACTACTACTACTACTACAGTTGTTAATATTGTGGTTGGTAGTTAGTTGTTTGATATTACAATATAATTAGATATATATGTATCTATATTTTTTGAGTAATGAAGCTGGCTGATGATGATGATGACGATGAAGGAGATGATAATAATAATATAATAATAATGATAATAATAATGATAATAATAATAATATAATAATAATAATATAATAATAACAATGATAATGATAATGATACCTGTTCAGCAAATTGCTCAAAGTTCCCTGTCATGAGTTTCGCGAATTCTGAGGAAGATAAAAAATTATAAGGATAATAATAATTAAAACAATAATAATAACAATAATGATATAAATAATAATTATAACAATAATAATACTAATGGCGTCACCAACGAGAATTATGACGTCAGCGACTGACCTGAGTAGTCGATCTTGCCATCCCCGTTGATATCTGCTTGTTTCATCATCTCGTTTAGGTCATCGATGGTTAACTTCATTCCTTTATTTGTAGGTCGTTCGTTCACTCAGTCAGTCAAGCATTACACTCATTCATTCATTCATTCGTTCGTTCGTTCATTAATTCGTTAATCCATTCATTCATTCGTTCGTTCATTCATTCATTCACTCGATGATGACAACTCACTTAATCTTTCATCCATACATTCGTTCGTTCGTTTGTTTGTTTGTTAATTCATTCGTTCATTCGTTCTGTCATTCATTCATTCATTCATTCATTCATACAATCACTTATCTATTCACTCACTCACTCACTCACCCACCTAGCATCTTCATGGTTTCAAAGAGCTCCCTCTTTGATATGTAACCGTCGCAGTTTTTGTCGAACATCTGATCGGTGTTGATGATGATGATGATGGTGGTGGTGATGATGGTGGTGATGGTGGTGGTGGTGATGATGATGATGACGATTGTGATGATGATTGTGATGATGATTGTGATGATGATTTTGCAACAAAAATTTAAGCAGACGGAGATGATTGCATTTCTTCTAAAGCAAGCAAAACTATCGAAAACACCAACACCGTATTATCACCATCGTCATCATCATCACCACCACCACCACCTTGAAAGCCTCCCACGTCGACGAGCTCGTCCTCCTCCTCCTTGTAGATGCGATTGCGTTATTTTTAGTAGCAGTAAAAGTTGAAGTAGTAGTAGTGGTGGTGGTGGTGGTAGCAGCATCATTACTAGCACCGATTGTCATGGGGTTAGGTGATGATAATGATGGTGACGGTGATGAAGAGAATGATGATGACGACGATGGTGAAACGTTGTTGTGGTGGTGCTGGTGACGATGATGACTGCTGTTGTTGGTGGTGGTTAATGTCGATGTGCTGGTCGTACTCTGCTTTCGAGATACTGGTGTTGATGATGATGTTGATGTTGATGATGTTTGTGATGATGATGGTGTTGATGATGATGATGATGAAGAAGATGATGATGGTGATTGTGATGATGGTGAAGAAGAAGATGGTGATGATGATGGTGATGATGGTGAAGAAGAAGATGGTGATGATGATGGTGATGATGAAGAAGATGGTGAAGGTGATAATGATGATGGTGAAGACGATGACGATGACGATGATTAAGGTGATGAAGATGATAATAATTAAATGATACAACAACAGCAACAACAACCTGGCTCCTTGTTATCAATGTTAATATTGCTTGAACGTTGTTGTTGTTGTTGCTGTTGTTGCTGCTGTTGTTGTTGCTGTTGTTGTTGTTGCTGCTGCTGTTTTGCTGCCAACAAGGATGGCACAACTAAACAAGATGGCGACAATGACGACGACGACGACTGTTGTTGCTGGTGTGGCTGCGGTTGGTTCTGTTGATTTTGCTGTTTTTGGTAATGCTGCTGTTGTTGTTGTTGTTCCTGTTGCGTCATCATTACGTCATCGTCAAAAGTGAACTGTCGTTGAAAATGACGGTGATGATGATGATGACGACCAATAACTATGATGATGATCATGATAGTGATGATGATTATGATGACGATGATGATTATGATGACAAATGACAGTGGCCATGCCAGATAACAATAGATCAATAATGTTACACAGCAACAACATTATAACATTAACAAATATGATTGACAATAAGAGCAAAACCACAATAACTATTTTTGAAGCAAATAGAATATATATCGTATCGTATCGTATCGTAACTACTACTGCTGCTGCTACTACTACTACTGCTGCTACTACTGCTGCTACTACTGCTGCTACTTCTGCTACTACTCACTCATACATAGTTATACACTAAATAATTTCAATAGATGGCGAATAGTCTGCAAAAAAAAATCTATCTAAAAGCTTGATAGCAACTTATGTACGTAGAGAATATGATCAAGGGGTACTGACAAATTTGGAGGTGGTAGAAGGACTGAGGTTGAAGGTTCTCATGATTCGGACAAAATCTGATGATGATGATGATGATGGTGATGGTGATGATGACGACGACAAAATGAAGATTACACAACGACGAAAAATGATGACGATGATGATGAAAGAATGATGACCAGATGATGGTGATGGTGGTGATGATGATGATGATGAGGGTCATCATCACAATCAACACCACCATCCTCCTCCTCCCCCTCCTCCTCATCATCATCATCATCCTCATCATCCTCACCCTCAAAGTATATCGTCTTTCCTTTGATGTGAGCGTCCGAGAGCATGTCCGTGATGTCGCTGTCAGTTATTGGCACACCCAACGTCACGAATGCCTCTTTCAGTTCCTGATAACGATGGTGGTGGTGATGGTGGAGATGGTGGTGGTTGAGATGGCAAAAAACAACGCGCTACATAAATAATTCCTAACAAGAATAATAATAATAATAGCAATTATTATTATTATATTTATAATAATTGACAGCAGCATCATCATCAGGAGGACCTCGACTTCGATGGAGCCGCTGTGGTCCTTGTCGATCAGTCGGAACATCTCCATGACCTCCCTCTCTTCAGACTGCGGGTTCTCGGAGCGTGTGGTCAGTAAGATGAACTCTTCAAAATCTATCTGACCATTTCCTGGCGGTCATGATCATGATAGTTGGGGTGGTGGTGGTGATGATTATGATTATGATACATATATACGTACATACACACAGATACAGGCCAAGCCAACAAAATGTCAACTTGCTGGAAAATAAGCCTAATAAAGTCAGCTAATGTACACACATACATACACACACATACTTACATAAATACATACAGACAGACAGACAAACAGACAGAGAGACAGACAGACGGACAGACACAGCAACACCAACATACCGTCTAAATCAACTTGTTGGAATATATGCCTGATGTAGTCGGGCGATGACTTGATCTCCATGGTGTCGAGGACCTTCTGAACTTCCTCCATTGTTATGTAACCATCACCATCTTTGTCGAATAGAGAGAATACCGCCTGCAAGCCTGTGGTTGTGCGTGTGTGTGTATGCGTGTGTATGTGTGCGTGTGCGTGTTTGCATTCTGACTAATGGGATAGTTTCCTTATTATAAATGTTACTGCGGAGAAACTGCACAACTCACGCGTTTATAAACAACAACAACGATAATAATAATAACAATAATAACATGATGGCATGGCAACTATGATGGAGAAAACTAAATAGAGAGAGAGAGAGAGAGAGAGAGAGAGAAGAGAGTGAGCAATGTTCGACTTGAAGTGGGATCATTGTTGTAAGAGGGCCTTCTAAAGTATAAACTCGTTGTGAAATAAAA